TTAAGCAGTGTTTTTTTGGAGCACAGGTACCTTATTGCACGGTCACCAGGTGAGATGAAGGATGTCTCACCTGGATGATTGCTCTGATACACCATTGGAGAGCTGGAACATGCTGTGCCATGTTCACGGAGGTTTGAAATCAAGCAAGGTAAGTGGTGCTGCTCTTGCTACCTATTTCACAGCAATACTCCTGCCCCTACATCACTAAGGTAGCCTTAAAAAAAATAAAACAGTTAACAGTAAATAAAACATGGATTAGCTGGTTATCTTGAATACATCTGCAGGGCAGGAGACTATACTTGAGTTAGTTCCCTTGTGAGAGCCCCAAGCTGGGAGATGGTTAATTTGTGAACTTGTGGGTGGGGAGCTGCTGTTATCTCAACTGCAAGAAGAAAAGCAGTGCAAAGCTTTTAACGCTTTTTGAATTGTCAAGCTTCTAAAAATTTGCAGCAGGGCTATGAGCTTTTAATGCCTGATAGAGTCATAGATGTAAAACAGGCTCTTCCTTATTGCCATTTGTAGACTCCTTAAAATTAGTCCCTATGACCAGCCTGAGGGCTGTCTTTGTCAACTAAGAGATGTGGAAGAGAAAGCTGGATCCATGGATTGTTTCCTGAGTGGCAGTTTGCCTTGTGTTACAGTTTGTCTGCTACAGAGCAATGCAGTTACTCGTTTGAATTTTAGTGTTTGTGGCAAAGGCTGTTAATGATGATGCTAAGCCTGTACCAAAACTGACAGCTGTCCTAGCCATTAAATGTTCCTCTTGGCAATACACTGATCTTCATGTGTAAGAACTAAAAACACAGACTGGACCAGGACAGATGACCATGTTCTCTGGGTGCCGGTAGCCAACAACATAAGGCCAGAAGAAAAGGGCAAGCATATAATGTTGTGTTCCTCTGAGTGTTTCCCTCGTTTCCAGTGCTTGTAATTTCTTGAGAAGTAGCAGCATCTTTGTACTCTGTAGCTGTCAGTGGATTTTTCTGCCATGAATTTATTTGCCAAGGCGCTTTTAAACCCATGTAAAATCTTGGCATTTATGGCTTCCTGGAGCAAGGAGTTGCGCAGTTTAACGCACGATGACAAAGTGCCTCCTTTTGACTCTGCCATCACTGCCAAGCTAATCTACTTGGCACCAGTTCATTCTTGCCATGTAGACCTGGCCAGTATTATATCTCAGTCATCTGAACAGTTTTGAGAAGAGTTTTCCACCATGGTTTTGGTGAACTTTGCACAAGCTTTCCAGGTATGTTTCAGTGACAATAGTGAGGGGTATTCAATTCAAAATAAATTGCGTGGAAGAGTCTTATAACACAGTAAAAATGCAGAGTCTGAGACACTGAGCTTCATATGCTCATGAAGTATTTGCAGTGATATGGGTAAAGTAGTTAGGTCTCAGCATGTCACCTCTGGCCAACCTGCAGGTACCTCAGTGACTGCATTGCTTCTTTCTGTGTGTCTTCAGCTGGCAGGGTCTGGACCCTTGTCCCCTCTCCTGATGCTCTGCAGCACACCAGTGGCCACAGCTGCCAGGCTGCCGAGACCAGGAGCCCTCCCAGCACAGAGGCAGTTCCCAAAGAGCATGGGGCACGCTAAGCCTCTGCTTAAGTCTCTGCTGAACACATAGAAGATGCATCTATTCATCTGGAAGAAACATGACCAAAAAGCTGTTGTACGGAAGGATCTCTGGATGTCAGAATGGCTCCCAAAGACTGCTGTGGATGCCACGGTAGGGTGAGTGAAGGCACTAAACCTGGTGCTTGCCCTGGTATTGGGTTATGGTGTGCACAGGCTGGATCAAAGGACCTTTATGTGTGACTTAGGAGTCCTTGTTTATGTCAGGAATGAAACTGCCCATATTGCACTGGAGTTGGCACCAGCCTGAAGGTCCCAAGCACAAGTCTTTTAAGTTGCAAACCTTTTCAGTATGCTGCAGGCTGCCTTTCAGCAGAACTTCTGCATGACAAGCCTTTCCACGTTTTTTTTTTCTACAGCAGAGACCACTGAGATTTTGATTCTTTCATGATAAACAATGCACTCAACAACTCTAACACCATGCCTAGAATTTGTTTGGGCTACACCCTTGTCATAAAGCTGTGGATGAAGCTTAACACAATAATGAACCATTGCAATAGTTGTTATCCTTGATTTTAAAAAAAGGAGAAACAAAGCATGGCATTTTTTCCCTATGTTTCTTCAGCAAATGTTTTTGATATGCACTTGTAAAGCATGATCAAAGCTCCCTGTGAGTCTCTCCTAAATAAACTAAAGAGAGAGTGCTTTATAGATTTATGTTATAAAGCAAGTGTTTTGAGCTGCGATTGGCACCTTAGTATCTCCATATTCCCCCCTCTGACATCCACTGTGCTGGAGGCTGCTCTCAGCTGGTAAAACTGCTTAGCAGTTTATGTCCCAGGGGCTCTCTAGGCACAATCCCTGGCTCGCAAGTGATTTCTACCGTCCCTTAAAACACAAGGAAGGTACAAGGCGGTGGTGGGGCAGATGACACACATATATACCAAACATTTCAGTAACATATCAGTAGGAAGGAATATTAGAATCATGGACAGATTTAGGTTGGATGAAGTATATCAGCTGGAGTCCAGTCTCCTACTCAAAAGCAGGGCTAACTTCAAAGTTAGGTGGATCAGGAGGACCTTGCCCAGCTGAGTGTTGAAACTCTCCAAGGATATATATTCTCTATCCTCTCTGAATAACTGGCTCCAGGGATTCACTCATTTCATAGTGAGAATCTTTTTCTCCTGATGAGTAGCTGGAACGTCTATGCTGAACCTTGTGACTGTTGCAATGAGTTGTGCCCTTTTGATTGGTGATAAAAGTACTTTACAGCATTACGAAAAAAATCTCACTCTCAGTACTGTTCTGTGTTGGCTTGGAAATAAGCAGTTACATGGATTTAAACAACTGAGGGGCCAGAGGTAGGGAAAAAAAAAAAAATCACTCCGTAATGACTATGACAGGAGCTGGGAGGGAGATCTTCGGCATCAGGATCCAGATACTGACTGTTAACTATGGTTAAACCAACATAAGATAAAATTGAACAGTGCTTAACTGAAAAGCAACTGTTGTGAGCTTAGCTTGGCCTTTGCTACACTTGTTTCTTGGTCTAATAAAACTCTTGTTCAGTATCTGCATCACTGACAGGGAGTGATGTCAGGTAAGTGCCGTGACGTGCACAAAATCTGCACGACTTCAAACAGGAGAGGGAATCCACGGAGTAATTTAAGGGGACTGAGAAGCTGGTAACAGAGGTAAGAAGAGCGGGTGCTTTGCCACGAAGCTGATGTGACTTCGCGGGAGAAGAGAAGAGAGGAGACGGCTGTTTGCAGAAAGTCCAGCGCAGGGACATCGGGGCAGCGCCGGGCCGGGCGGAGCTGCCCGCACCGCGGCCGGGGCCGAGGGAACTCGCGGGGTCCCGGCGAGAGCCCGCACCCTCCCTCGCTCCTTCCCGGGGCTCCCTGCCCGGCACCTCCACCAGCCAGGGGACGGAAACCCCGCGAGCTGGCCGGGAGAGGGCACTGCTGCCCCGCTTTTGGGACAACCCCAGCCTTTCCGCCTCTTCCAAGGGAGAGAGAAAGCCATTTCAGTCCTGCCCAGCTGAAGGAGTCAGAGTATCCGGGGAGATCCTGCCTGGGTGATTAGAGACCGTGGTCGGGTAATTACAGGCCCCACTCGGGTAATTAAGAGACCCTGCCTGGGTGATTAGGCTGCATCCTAACAGTGACGGGAGCCACTGCTGTGCTGCGTGGTTTAAAACATCAGCTCAACACTCAAAGCTTCCTTCTTGCTACCTAGAGTGCACTGCAGAGTAAGATGTTCAGAGGTGAACAGGCTGCATCCGTTCAAAAAAAAGCCCAACAAGCAGCAAATAAAATGCCTCGATCAGGAAGGTAGAGATGGCACAGACCAATTGCTGAAATACCAGATTCAAACACTTGAAGTGCTGCAATTTAGAAAAAAAAAAAAGTATCTTTACAATGATCGAGGTGAAAATCAGCCCTTTAACAATTGTGCGTAACACGCCTGGCAAAGTCACTTTCATCTGAGGTAAGCTGCATAACTGATGCAACATATTCCATCATGCACCGAAGGACAGTGTTTCAGTTAGCCAAACACACGTTCATTTCAAAAAGAAAATTGTCATTTCTTGAAAGCTGTAAGATTGGTTAAGTGGGGCAATTTATTACACAATACAGGTGCTCTGTACAGCCAGTAAGAACTAGCTGCTTTGCATAACAAGTAGCATTCCCATAAGAAACGTAATGAGCATAACAAAGTATGCTGGAAACAAAAGAGTTTATTTAAGGAGGAAGACTAGAAACTGAAGTATAAAAAATAAAACAGTAAACCGGTTTTGTCTCATCCTTCCCAAAAATAATGATTTGAAATCTGAGACAAATGCAGAGGAATACATTTATAAAAAATCTTTGTACAAATTTAAAAAAAACATACACAAACTTGGAAGCACTCAAATATGACAAAAGAGAGACTAAATGTAATCTTTTGAAGTACTAATGCCATCTGAGGTCTGTTTACACATTCTTTACATTTCTATTTTGGTTAATCCAAAGCAGCAATCACAAAATATTAAGACCCGATCTACCACATTTAGGGCTCAAAAGCAAATGGTACATCATGATTGTAACGAAACCTGAGACACACCGACCTGCGCAACCAGCCCAGTGTGCATCTGTTCTCCTGCAACCATGCTTTCCCCTGGTATATTCCTAATCTAAAACTATCTGCCCTCCACATTCCCCAAGCAATCTGGAAGAGCTTATATTAAAGACTTCCTTGTTCCCCCTTACTAACACCAAGCGGGAATGTTTTATTAACAGATAGAGGAAGTCGGGATTGATTCTTGGTCCGTAGCTAAAGAAGATTTCTCAGTTATTATTGATGTTCTCCGCTGTTCCTCAGTAAAGCAGCTCAGTAAGTATTTATAGCCGCTGAGATTCCCCAGAAGTACACTTTGGTACTCTGTGTTCAGACAGCTCATATAAATGCTTTTACTATCTGTTGCCTCTTTTTTTTAGCATCTTTGAGTTTTTCTTTGGTTCAGTCTCCTCATCCTGTGGACTCTGTAACCTCTCTCTGAAAGAAATAAACAAGACAAATATAACAAAATTGTAGACAGAGTTTTTCAAACACTACAGTTCTCTCTTAAACTAAATTATTTGATAAGAGAAGAAAGGTGCTTGCTATATAATTACAACTTCTGCATTTGCTGGTTTCAGCTGCCTCTGTTGAGGCTGCCAAAACAAAGTTGCATAAAGATAAACGCTCCTTTGTTGGGTCCCTGTTCCCTGCACACGTATCCCTTGTTGGCTGTGGGAAAGGAGTGTGTGAAAAGGGTTGATGCCATGAGGGAAAGGAGCCATCTCCTGAAGTCAGTCCCAGGCTGAGGTCACTCAGGGGATAAATACTTTTCCCCAAAGGCCTGTGGCTCCTGAGAACCAACTGTTTGCTTTGCCTGTCAACAGGATTTTCTCTGCTCAATATATCAAGCCCCAGCGACCAGCTGGCTGGTTTGATCTGCCCGTAGTAATCAGCTGGCATCTTTCAGGTTTGTAGCCATTTCTTCTCCTCTAGTTAGCACCCCAGCATAAGCCAACTGAAACATCTATCAAGAAAATCATTGTTAGAGCTGCTCTCCTCATCAGCCAAAGACTGGCGCTTGCCTTTGTTCCTGAAATAAAGGTGGAAGTTGAAAGCCTAAATACCACAGACCATATTTTGGTTGCTACATGTCGGCCTAGTTCCATTGGATTCACTTGTCTCTGCTGATTTATGCTGTCTGTGACTCAGGTTTTAAAAAAGCCTAGTTAAAGGATATTTGGAACCAGTATTTCTCATGTCTCTACCTAAAATCAAAGTTATTTATAAAATACATAGCAGCACAGACGCAGACTCAGATGATTTTCCTAAATTTAGAAAAGAATATAGGGAAAAAAAGGATCAAGTATATGCAAGAAATAACTATTAACGAAGAAGCTCAGCTAGTGTAGGCATTATATTTTGAGTTTGGCTGACATACCTGCTCATGAAGTAGATTTTATACTGCTTTTTATTGTTTTCCACATATCATTTTTTTAGCCTCTACTGTACCTGCATAAACCAGAAGTCAGTCCAGGGGGCTCTTGAATATTTTCATGAGAATCATCTTTGTCTGCTGATTCTGATGACGGAAAGGACTTTCTTTTTGAGTTTGTTTTTTCCCCTGAATTGCCAAATGCATGTGGATTAAAAAAAATGAATCACATATAGTAGAGCTTGCTTGGTTTTGATTAACTGAAAACAAAAAAAATACACTCCAACACTTCATACGTACACGTTATCATTCCAAGGAAATCACTCCACTTCACATTAGTCTAGTATATTGATTTTTTACCACTGGTTAGTTCTCACAGAGCAGACCTTGAAGTTTCACACTTGCTGAACACTGAAGTGAGTTTCCATGAGGTGTAACAGTTGAAAGCCCTATCATAAATTTTCTTAGCAAGTAATTGAAAATGTCTTTTTATTACCAGCAAACAGAAGAAAAGCCAATTCATAATTTTATGTGATTTGAATCAGAACAATCTGATGTTAAGTCGTCACTGTTTTTAGGGCCCTGAGCTAAGCTTCCACATGTATCCCTGAGGTAACGGTCCCTACCAGGGCAAACAGCTCTGCACGCTTGAGAAAAAAGTGACTGGGGAGAGAGACATCAAAGTTTTCCAGGAGAGTGAGTTCTTTTCCCTTTCAGGCACCCATCTCACCTTTCAGCACCTTTCAAATGTAATGTCAAATGTTTTATTCTGATAATGACAGAAGGATTGCATGGCTCAAAGGATGAGCTCTACCTCAAATGTGAGTCAGGAAACACAACTGCTATTCTGACAATTTGTGTTCAAGGATCTCCTGAATAATATATTAGTCTAATTTGTTAGAACTGCAGTAAATCCACATAAGTATTTCAGGTTTCCTGATTCATTAAGATTTTACTTTTGAGCATGTGTGCGGGAAGGCAATTCTTCCATTCTACCAGCAGAACGAAAGCTGGGTGATTCAGCTCTGCTGTCCTCTGAAAGACTTAGTGATTGAGGTGAACAGAGTTGTTTCTAAAGAACACGATAAAGACATGAAAAATAATTTTGGTTTGAGCAAGGCAAAGCCTTACCTCAGTGGACACAATGCGATCTATTGGCTAAAGGACTGCTCTGGAGTGAGGAATGGTGACACTTCTTTGTGGCTGTGCTACTGGAGAGCTGGGTGACCTGGGAAGGTTGCCTTACTTTTCTACATCCCAATTAGGGCCTGAAACTCCATTGTGTTATATCACAAAATATGCACTGACATGTGGAATGATGTGAGTTTTTTTTAAAACAATTCAGGATTGTTCCAACCTGCTGGCTTGCTCCTTTTGGAAGGCTTCTTCTTCACAGCCACTGGAACTCGGGCCAGCACAGCCAACTCGCTCACAAAGTCCTGCTCTGCTTCCTGCACACAAGGATAAACCAGAAGTCAGTTAACACAAGACAGCTTGATTCTGCGTTATGTTATTCTACATGTGGTATGACAAAAAAAGGTGTATGTCATTGCAGGAACACAGGAAACAACACAGATCGCATCAGAGAAGCGTCTTCTACAAGACAGTGGTGAATCTCAGCACCAATTTCAACTAGGACAGCAACGAGACTCACTCTTACAACCTGTCTGATGTTTTGCCATGAACCACTTAGATCCGTGAGTCATTTTACCCCAATTTACCCTTAGCTGATTCTCCAACTCAGTTTCTAGGTGATGCAATTCCAGCAGCTTCTGTTTTAGAGACTCCAGACGAATTTGCTGCTGCAGTTCAAACTGAGCCAAAACCTTCTTTTGCTGCAGCACCATCCTGGTCAAGAGAAATTTAAAAGTATTGATGTTGAGTTCAAGGGAGGAATACAATCCTGGCAAAGTGTATTTAGAAGATTTTGTAGACAGAAAGGCTCATTAACACTATCGTCCCATCCGGCTTCTGCTGGGACGAAAAATTTTGCTGTAGATTTTTAGATAGATTTACTTATTTTAATAACCTGCCTTGGCTCTCCACGGGATACAAGCTCCTTTCGGAAGTAGGAATTGCATCAAGAGTTTGTGTTGTCCATGCCTGGCTTTCAAAGCCATTGTATGTTTCTAAAGTCAGCTTTACTGTCTGCTTGCCAAAGAGACAAGCTGTTAGAAGATCAAGTGTGAGGATAAAGGCTCTTCAGTAGCAAATTAAGACTCAGTCAAAAACATGGTAATTCAAAACTTGGCAACTGGGAGTATTGACATCTATATTCCTTGCTTGCTTTATCTCGCTAGTTAAACGTTAATATTAATACAGTAGAACCTGAATGGCTGCAACTTTGCTGAATCTGTATTTGTTCTGTTCTCTTGCCTGATCTACCTTGAAGCAATGCTGTCAATCACTCATCACATTCCTCAGGGAAGGAAATAACACAAATTGTTTCTGACATCTACACATAACGAAGCTGGTAGTGTAATAGTCAATGCTTATAGAAGGTTGGCTTTCAAAATTTACTTTTTGAACTCACACTCATAACCTTGCACCAAGGGCAAAAGGAAATAATCTGTGTTGAGTTGGATAGGAGTTAGACAAATTAATGGAAATTTTGTCATTAATTTACACAGGATTGGTATTTGACTGTAAAAGAAATCATAATGACAATAGGAAAACAGGTTAGATTACTAATGGTTATGAGACCAGCTTAGATACTGAATAGTTATATTCTTCAATATCATATTTCTGTTTGCATGAAGGCCGATTTGATTCTATTTTGTTTTAAGACACTAGAATAGATTATGGGAGAAAAAACTGAGACAATGGCTAGAAGTTAATTTGTATGTCGGAATAAATGCTAAACTTGATAATGAATAACTACCAGATCTTTTATGAAGCCCTTTATTATATGAATCAATTTCTATTGTAATTGAAACAAGGATGAAAAACAGAAAGTAGGTGATGATTTCTTTCAATTTAGAAGTAACAGTATGTCTAAAAATAGAATTAACCTCTTTACAATGTCAAAATTGCAGATGCTGTCTTGTTCTGGATAATAAACCAAGAGTCAAGAAATAAGATGATTACAAAAATGTATCATATGCATGCCAAGTCATACAGCTTTTAATGACAACTTATTCCTTTTGAATTGCAGTGTTTTTTGTCTAGACACTGTTTCATAAAATCAGTAATGAATTAAATATGTTTTTTATTTAACTAACATTTGAGGGATTCCACTCTAAATTTACTGCAAGTAATCTTGATTGTCCAAGGCATTCACTGAAATCTTCTTACCATTTTGAGTATTATTTATGCTTCAAACACTTTCTCTTCATTATGGTATATGTTTACTCAAAAGCAAATTAACAAACACTGTTGGTGTTCAAAGCAGAAAAGATGGAACACAATGAATTAGATTGTATCAGTTCCCATCCTATATTTATGTTAAATTTCTTTTAAAATTTAGCAAATGTTTTGGCATTGTTTTTCATTTTCTTTTTTTCTAATGGTCTATGTATAGTTCTTCAGTCTGTAATTAATGAGCATCAAAAAAGTTTATTTAATAAGAAAGTAATTCTCTGAGATCAAAGGGTAGATGCAATTTGGCAACAGATACTTCTTTTCCATCAAAGACAAATATCAAATGCAAACCCAAGGCACTTATTCAGCTAGACATTTAAAATGCAGATCTGCAAACACAACATTTAAATAGAGTCAGCAGTGCTGTTGCCTGCTCCTACCTTTGGTGGACTGTGGATGATATGTTCTGGAGGCCTTTGGTCTGTTTCTCTTTTGATGTCAGTTCATTCTCTTGTTTCTTCCCAAGTCTGTTCCTTTCAATTCTTTCTGCTGAAATAAGGTTTTTGTAAAATCTTCTGCTCAAAATTACAAACTCTGAGTTGTGGCAACTTTACAATTTATGCTTTGCACCAGCACAAACTAATCCCTGTTCTAGATAGTCTTCCCAAAGTTACTGCTCCTCAGGTATATCAAATACTTCTTACACAGTCTTGCTCTGCCGCTGTGCTCTGTTGCACAGACAATAATTTGTGTATCATTTAGCTGAGATGGTAATGTCACTGAATTCCTTATCTACTTGACCCACTAGGCTAAGTGATTAATGTGGAATTCAAAGCAGAAATTTCATGAAAAGACTTTGATGCCTTAAGCAGAACTGTAATACCTAAAAAAAAAAATGCAATATAAAGAAAACTGCTGCTTGGAGGCCACGTAGTCCTGGGAATGCCTAACTTCACTAAATGTCCCCTCATTTGATGATGAAGTATTTTGTGTACTTTTCTGTATGCTCACACTCTGCAAGTAACTTCGCATTTATCTGCTGACCAGGCTCCTGACTCCTGTCCCTGAAGTCCTGCCTGGCAGCAAGGTGCAAGGTTTCCTTGCACCACTGCTTTTAAATAAAATACAGAAGGAGGGAGATGGAAGGCTATTTAACAGATTAGGATACACAGCATTCATTTAGGGAGTATCCAGCCTTTTCCGAACGCCCAGAGAGGCTGACAGGCACCTCTCCTACCAAGGACAGCATCAGGGAGCAGTGACTGGCTGTGCTCTAGGCTGGGCTGGGCTGGCTGGGAGAGGGAAGGTGTTCTCTAACTTTTTACCTGTGGCTGTACCAGACAGACCATAAATTCAGATTTACTAGGCCAAAGAATGCCCAAAGAAGCAAAATTCTCCAGCCTGACACTGAGCCCAGTCACTGGGAGAGAGAAGGCCGGCATTATGCTCCTTACTCCCATTTAGCTACAATTGAATGAAGTATGTTTCCTATGTGGCCATTCTAACCCCAGGGCTATCACACAGTAGGTGGCTCTATTGCCAACACTGTTTTTTCCATCTGTGTTTTAGAGAGAGAGAACTTATAAGAGTATTTGGTGAGGAGGATCACGCTCTCAAGTGTGGTGCTTGGAGATCACTTAACAGATCAGGCCCTTCTGAAAAGGAAGACACATGGATGTTCTGCCTCCTGGCTGAGCTGGGATGGAAAGTAGTTGGCTGTCTAGCAGGGCTTAGAGTGTCCTGGCTGTGCCCCGGCGCAGAGCTTCAGGCTGTTAAGAATCACAGAGATAAATTTAAGTGCTTCTGGGGCCAATGCAGCAGCTGAAATGAGAAAGGTGTGGGGCTCTGCATCACAAATGCACAAAATTAGGTTAAAGAAAGACTTACATGTATTAAAGCCTCAAAGTCCCTCATTAGATGTTAGTGCTCACTCCTAATGTAAAAAGGACCAACAAAGCTGCAGTAGTTATCTGTCGATTCTGAAAATCTCGGCCGGGCTGCAGCACACATGTGTAGGTTTGCAATATTTTTTCACTGTAGCAATTAACTTGATCTGTGAATTTCAGCTGGGCTTCTCTCTGACCACCCAAATCTAAAACACTGCTGCTTTTATTACCAACATAAATTCTGTCATCCTCCCTCATGCCTGTAGGCTTACATTGCAGCAGAAGGATTCTCTTTTCCTTCAGTTGAAAAGAAAATGTGCTCTGCTTACACAGGTAGTGTTCTTCCTTGCAGTTCACTGTTGTGGGTCAGGCCGCTCCAGCAACCAAACCCTACACAGCCGGTCACTCACCCTCCCCCAGCCCCAGGGATGCGGGAGAGAATTAAAGGAGAAACGGGAAATCCGTGGGTTGAGATAAGAACAATTTAATGCAGATGATTTAATACACAGTGTAGATGCTCACCACCCCCTCTTATGTGAAGCCCATCTCGTCCCAAAGCTGCAGTCCCAGACAAACGCGAGGCCCCGTGTCCTGGTTTTAGCTGGGACAGTTAGCTCTTCTTTTTAGCAGCTAGAAGTGCTCCGTGTTTTGGTTTTACTGAGGCTCGCTCTGAGAAGAATGTTGATAGCAAGCTGATGTTTGTGGTTGGAAGTGAAACTCCAAGGACAGTGTGCTGTGTTCTTGCCAGTGGGCAGGAGCACAACAGGATAAGGGGGGAGCATTGCCGGGACAAGGGGTCCACGACTCTCCTTACGATTTGTACTTGGACTTAAGATTGAGGGCCAAACTGGCCAATTAGTATTCCATATTATGCAGCGTCACGCCCAATAGAAAAGTGAGGGTCAGCCAGAGAGAAGGGCTTTTGCCCTTCCAGGACTCTCACTTTTGGACTCTCAGAGTGCTTTCTCTCTCTCTCGCTCTCTGTCTTGGGGCCTCCCGTTCATCCAGGATTGCGGTATCGGGTTTTATCTGTTTCGGGATTGCAGCTTCGGGACGAGACGGGCCTCGGTCAAGGGGTGGTGAGCAATTACACCGTACATCACTCGTTTGTATATATTTATCCTTGTACATATCCGTACATATATATATTGGTAGCGGTAGTAGTAAATTGTTCTTATCTCAACTCTTGGGTCTCCTTTCTTTTTCTTCTTTGATTCTCTCCCTCCTCCCTCAGGGTGGGGGAGTGAGCAACTGTAGGGTTTAGTTGCCGGAGTGGCCTAACCCACAACACCCTGAAATAGAGAGGGGGAGAGAGAGATAGTACTCCGAGCGTGTGATTACTGGAAGAGAGAGAAAAAAAAAAAGGCAATAGAGCAAAAGCGCAGAAACGCAAAAGAGCAGAAGCAGCGAAAGAGCAAAAGCACAAAAAGCCCTTCTTTCCAGCTGTCCCTCACTTTTATACTGGGCATGACGCTACATGATATGGAATACTAATTGGCCAGTTTGGCCCTCAGTCTTAAGTTCTACGACAAATCACAAGGGGAATCGTGGCCCCCTCGTCCTCGCTATGCTCCCCCCTTATCCCGCCGTGCTTCTGCACTCCGGCCAGAACACGGCACACTTAAAAGTCCTTGGAGTTTCACTTCCAACCACAAACATCAGCTTGCTAACAACATTCTTCTCAGAGCGAGCCTCTGAGTAAAACCAAAACACGGAGCTCTTCTAGCTGCTAAAAAGAAGAGCTAACTCTGTCCCAGCTAAAACCAGGATATTCACGGAACACCAATACAATGAAACAGTAATATATCCACACAAACTCTAGGAGAAAAAATAATCTAAATGAGCAATGACCAGAAGGCTGACTGTGATTCTAGTGACTGGTATTCTAGTTCTCACAACCTAACTGGGAGACCAGTTGAGAGAAATATCAAAACACCGACGAAGTTGAACATTCAAGTGTGTAACAACATCCATCTCAGCTCAGATCAGAGAAGTGTTCTGGAACAGGCTTCAGTTTTGATTTCTGCTTAAAGGAACTCAAATCAAAAGGATTTTAGACTCTGTAGTTGGCTGAATCAGGGCCAAAGTCTTTAGAGAGACTTTGTAAGAACTTAAGTAAATGACTGCCTCGCTAGCTGCCAATGTCTAAAATAGATTGTCAAAAATCCCTGCACAGATTCTGCCTAACCCTAGCACTTCAGCTTCTAATATCTAAGTCTTCAAGGTTCACAACAGGGCAGTGCAGAACAGATTGGTTCCATCTTACAACCCATGAGCGTATCTTGCTCCTACTGGGGCTCACAAATCCTTCCTACCAACTCATCTCTGGATCTCAGCCTTGAATGGATACGCCTGTTCCTCTTCAAAAACTCTCTTCTGTGGTTAGAAAATCATTTCTATTTGCTAACTCTATTTTTAGAAAAAAAAAAAATCCATTCCATGTGTCTCAAATACTTAGCCGCTGATGATATTGCTGTTTTGCTAACTTGCTAACTTCTTTAATGCCAGCAGCCGTCACGCAGGGGAGTGAAGAGTGTTTACAAAAGAAATCAATAATCACAGTTTGCTTTTGTTCTCCTGTCCTGAAGGAACTGAGCAATTAAAAATAATTCCAGGAGAAACTGCCTGTACTTATGTGAGATCCAGCAGTTCACAAACCTCTTCAGCAGTTTCACAACCTGTAAGAAGGTCATGGTTGACAGCTAAGAAACAACGTGGTAGCTCACACAGTGTTCCAGGATGGGCATGCTTGGCTTTTTGGTGTCTCCTCTAATGAATTTCCTCAACTTCAGAAACAAAAACATTTCACTGAGCCAAGAAAAGGAATGAATGTAAGAATCTACTCCCCAAAGCTGACAGTAGTCACCTCAGAGGAAGCAGACTGTCCACCAATGATGTTTTTGTTTTTTAACATGGGAGCAGGGATTGCAAAGCCAGATGTCCTCCCTTCTAGGGAAAAGATCCAGCTTGTAGGTGCTTGTCATATACCCTCTCTCTCTCCCTATGAATATCTGATTCATTGATTCATTTTATTTGCATATATTAATATGCAAAGTTGAACAGTATTTATGGTAGATGTTGCCTGTACAACTAATATTTGTACAACTCTCTGGTTTCTAAATTCTTTTGCCTTGTGTTGAGGTTTAGAGCACCAGAAAATCAACTGCAGGTCATTGTGACTATGGTGGTATCTCTGACCTTAGCTTGGTGAACCAGAGGTCATGGTTAAACTATAATCTCCAACACTGGGTCATCGTTCTGTGTGTGTCTGTACCAAACTTCAAGTAACAAGGTCCTGTATCTACGACTGTAATTCAAGTAATTATTAATAGTAACAGTTCTACCACTTCTCCTTCAAAGATGGAAATGGACCTACACAGTAATTTTGTTTTGTTGCTTAGTTTAAAGAACACATTTCTGTTATCTTTAAAAGCAATCTTTACAGCGGTAAAAAAATTCACTGATCTGTTAAAACACCAGAATTATCTTATAGTTGTCAATATCATACGTACCTTGTAAGGATTTCAATTGTTGAAGCTTTTTCCCTTCATAGCCTTCTGTGATTTTTCCTAATTGCTGATAGTAGTTTTGCACCAGTCTATTGATATTACTGCTGGTCCCATACACACTTTCTACAGCAGCTTCCACCAGTCTCTCCTGTATTACACAGTACAAGTCACAATTCATTTTCTAGGTCAAAACCCAAAGTGTTTTGATCTGTCTACAACTGAAGACCCAATCTAATTTTGTACGTGCACACAAAATTGTGAATTTTGTGCTTTAAAAATGCGGCAGACTAAAACGTTGGAAAACAGGTGTTTCTATTCACCCATGGAACATTTTAACACGAAAAATGACAGTAAAATCTTTCTAATGTGCCTCACCTCCATCTGAGAAGTTGCCATTCCCCTATCTGTTTAATCTCTACAGCTCATTTTACTTGTGAACCCAACTTGCCAGCAAAGTAAATCAATATACATGTAGCTCTACTACAACCTTCCATTATACAGAAAACCCAAATATTTACTTTGGAACAATTTTATTAACCTATGAAGCAAGCTTTATTTTTATTTCATTATTTATATATGTATTAATATTAAGCTGTTAATACACAAATTAACTGTAATACCTTCATCAGTAGATAACTATCTCAATTTCCTCCTCATTTTTGCTGTTCTCTGTCATCAAGAACTCTCTCTTTTTTTTTTTAATGTTCTAGGTTTTGGCTTAATTAAACCTGTTTTGGTTGCTATAGCAAGTCACTAGAAAATACTGTACTTCTACAGAAGTGTTTGTAAATACTTTGCAAGGTATCTTCACACAGAATCACAGAATGTTAGGGATTAGAAGGGACCTCAAAGGACCATCTAGTCCAATCCCCCTGCTGGAGCAGGACCACCTAGATCAGATCACACAAGAACGCGTCCAGGCGGGTTTTGAACATCTCCAGAGAAGGAGACTCCACAACCTCTCTGGGCAGCCTGTTCCAGTGTTCTGTTACCCTTACTGGGAAGAAGTTCTTCCTCATGTTTAAGTGGAACCTCCTATGTTCCAGCTTATATCCATTTCCCCTTGTCCTATCATTGGATGCCACTGAGAAGAGTCTGGCTCCATCCTCATGGCAGTCACTCTTTACATATTTCTAAACATTAATGAGGTCCCCCCTCAAGTCTCCTCTTCTCCAAGCTAAAGAGATCCAGCTCCCTTAGCCTTTTCTCATAAGGGAGATGCTCCACTCCCTTAATCATCTTTGTGGCCCTGTGCTGGACTCTCTCAAGCAGTTCCTTGTCCTTCTTGAACTGAGGGGCCCAGCACTGGACACAATATTCCAGATGTGGCCTCACCAGGGCAGAATAGACGGGGAGGAGAACCTCTCTTGACCTACTAACCACACCCCTTCTAATACACCCCAGGATGCCATTGGCCTTCTTGGCCACAAGGGCACATTGCTGGCTCATGGTCATCCTGCTGTCCACGAGGACCCCCAGGCCCCTTTCCCCTGTGCTGTTCCCCAACAGTTCAGTCCCCAACTTGTACTGGTACATGGGGTTGTTCTTACCCAAATGCATGACTCTACACTCGCCCTTGTTGTATTTCATTAAATTTCTCCCCGCCCAACTGTCCAGCCTGTCCAGGTCTCTCTGAATGGCAGCACAGCCTTCAGGTGTGTCAGTCACTCCTCCCTGTTCAGTGTCTTCAGTTTTAACATAGGTTGTAGTGCTCTCCTGCTGATACTTCTACACACAGGGTAATGCATAAATGAAATTGCCTTCCATTTTAGCAAAGTGGGATTCATTTTGTTTGGAAAACTGCTGCTGAACATTTCTATACCTTGAAGTCCTGTCCATCATCTGAACTCTTTTTTCCAGCTTCCCGTCGGGCATGCTGCAGCAGTGTCCGCCCAATCACCTGCTCCATGTGCTGCTGAAGAAACTGAAGAGCTTCTTGAATTTCTGTGACTAGCTGCTGGTGAAATTCTAAATGGGTTTGCTGCGTTTCTTCCTCAAGCTTCTCCTCCTCTTCTAGAATGTGGGACTCCTGGTAACCAGACAAAAAGATAGCACTGTCACTTAAATACAGTGACAAACTTAGTCAGCTTCACTTTAAAAGGAAATCGTACACCCATTCTGAATGCTACTGTTTTAATACTTACAATAATCTATTTTTCAGTGGAAATTTATGTACAGTCATTTAATACACGTGTCTTTGCAACAAAACTCGCCTCTGTCACGATACGTACAATAACAGCTGCATCCTGTCCCATTAGTCATTTCCAGGTGATGTATTCCCATCTTTGTATTCTGTACTGTTGAATTTGGTCTTATTTCTATTAAAAATATGAACAATCTAGGTCAAATATCCTGAGTCCAGCAAGGGATAATCGTGGATGCCTTGATAAAGTGTATAGGAACAAGGCAAGTATACAGTTTTGCACCTGCAATAGTCATACAGTTTGTGAGGTCTACCTGAGAAAGTCAGTATATTGCTACTTATGGCCCTTGGGAGAGGTCATGAATGTGTTTAATAGCACACAGAAACCATTTGTGTTTTTGGCATCTACAGCATCCTGTGGTGGCGAGTTCTACAGTTTATCCACACATTTCTCCATTTTGAACCTGCCATCTAATAGCTTCGCTCAGTGCTCTCTTTTTTATTAGAAACAAGTGAAAAATTGTTTCCTATTCACATCTTTTATGCCAGTTTTAAAACCTATGAGATTCCAGAAGACATCTCTTTTTTAGGCTGAAGAGTTATATTCTCTTGAGGTCTTTGGACCATCCTTGCCACCATTTTCTATGCTTCTACTTAAATCCACTTTCCCTCTAAACTCTCTTTAGCACACAATAGTATACACTCACCAGTACAACCTGTTCTGTTTTCCTTACATGTATTAGTCTTCCAAAGATTGCCTTCTATCGAGTTGCTGATGTCCTCTTATATTAATATTCTCATTTAAGGCTAAATAACATTAAATTATTCTGAGGGATTCAACAGTACCTATTTCATTCTCTCTTGGAAATAAGAAATGCAAGTATGAAAAGAACCTGCTCTGCTCACATTCATCTGTGGAAGGTAATGATGTCCCTATTAATGCTGGGGTATTCTGACACGTCTGTCTTTATAGTTCAGACATAAGTTTTTGATATTTTTTTTAAACAGTCGAAATGTCATTATATCGTTTCTCTTTTTTTAAGAGCCTAAATGGCAGGTTATTATGTCCAAACGAGGATTCTTTAGTGCTGTTTTACATTTTATATGAAATCGACAGATAGACATGATACTGTCTACCAAGCTAAAATTGGCACAAGCTCAAATTAAGTTTAGTTGAAACAACATGGTATGTCTAAAACTCTAGTTGAATGTCTGTAAATTAACCTTTTCCTTAACTCCTTATACACTGGTTCTAGTTTTGGAGGTTCATAACATTTTTTTTCTCTCTGACTTTTCACAATTCCACACCTTGGCCCTACGTCTTTTGCAGCAAGGATCTGGTACGTGTATTTTTAGGCACTTAACTTGTGAGATGGGTTTTAGCTGGCCTTGGAAACAGGCTGTAATGGAGAAAGGCCAAAGGAACACTAGTACCTGGGGACATTTCATTTTTGTTAGGGAACACAGTGATTGCATCAATTAACGTCCCTGTGGGAGCCAAGTGAGAGGGAGTAGTGGAAAGCACTTCACAAGAGGAATGCAGTCATATGCATTTGTATTTTACTATTTTGTATTTAATTTCTTCTGAAGGTTAATGAGAGTTTCACACTTAACAGGAACTACTTCAACAGAAGTATCAAATATGAAAACGACAGCGAACAGGACGTCCTTATTCCTCTTCCAACTGGAGAATTAGGGTTTGTATTATGCAAATCAGAATCAAGAGGGAAGCACAATATTATTATCTCTCAGTTAATTACACAGTGATGTAAATCCAGTGGGTTCAATCCAGATATGCAGCATCTGGGCTGGGCAGAGGCTAACACTGACACCCACTAGGATGGTCCTTTGAGATTGAAATCTGAAATTCAGTGGTGTTCTAGGTAAATATCCAATGTAGATAAGTAAACAACCACGAACCCCTAATGAATTAACCCTAAAAAATAGTCACAAACAGATCTGAAAGCAATCTGTGGGACTATCAAGTCTAAAAATCCTTTAAACTTTCTCCCATCTCCTTGACCTAGAGGAACTAGAATATTTGGAAGGATGTCGGGGAATGGATGCTGAGCATCCCATGGACAGTGGAGAAAGAAAAAAGAATGAAAAATGGTGACAGTATAGAAGAACTTGCTAGTTCTGATAGAGGAAAGAATTTCTTCTGATGGTCAAGTAAGAACTTTTCAAGTACATATTACGATCCCTAGCAGAATTAGGAATTTATCTTACCCTGAAGCAGTAACTTGTGTAGAAGTCCTTTATACACGTTGCCATGCCTTGTTTAATTAGTATTATCATATAAAATAAATAGCTAAATAAGCTCACTATGATAACATGTATAACAGATAGCTAGCCAGTAGATAAAGTATTAGGGAATTTAAAATGTCTGCCCAAACTAAAACAAGCACACTCAGGGACCTCCTTCGCCAGCAGTGGGTGCATTTTTGACAGTGTATATTTTCCTTTTTCTTCTACAGCCACTTCTAATGCCAGACACGATAGCATATGAGACCTCTGGAGAAAAACCCAGACACTGTACCTACCACTGCCTTCTGTAACTGCCACTGGTCCTCATCTTGGCAAGGAGAGGATCCCTTCTGCAAGGTATGTTGCTCTCTCAGTTCCTGAAGCAAACTCTTCTTTCTGGACAGTCTCATGCGGGCCAGGGCTGCCATTCCGACTGTTCGGAGGGTTAACCTTGTGAGTACTGAACACAGCAGAAGTCGGTGTTTTTGTAATATATAGTTAACACACCTGTAAAAAGGACCATTAAAAATCAATCAGTGAAGGTGCTTGCTGATTTGGCACACCTGTGTTCATTGCTCAACGATGACGAGTTACTATTCACTCTGTGCAATGTCTTCTCGTACAAAGTGTGCCTTGGAGAGCTGCTCAGGTGTAAAGAATGGTATTGTTGTGACAGACTTCTAGTTCTGTCACGCTGAAGTTGAATTAAAATAAAAATGAGAAGAAAAGAGATAAATAATAATCTGTAATTACATAATAAAAGGTTTTTAAATAGGAAACTTGAAATAAGATGAAAAGAGAATGTAATCAGAACTACAGGAAAGTTACGTCAAGAAAATGCAGGAGAGCATATCTTGGATTAACAAGGAGGCACACTCTGAAGAAATATTGAAGAGGCTGGTGTTAGCTGGCAGGGCAGACGTGGCTGAAGCAAGTTTGTGGTCAATTTTAAACAGGAGAGCAAATTTTGAAGTTGATTCTGGATCACGTGGGTGAAATCTGTGTGCACATTTGAGATGACGTTGTTTGTGCCTGTATCTAACTTGTGTGTATGTGTAAGGCACCATGAGCTCTCTAGATACAGAATCTTGGGAAAGACTGAAGAATGTAGGAGTAGACACACAGAAAGCACACCACTTGACAAGAAGACTCTATTTTTTCTACTTAATAGAGTCATGATATCTCAAGGGTTTTTTTGGTTTTGATACTTGGGCAAAAAACTAGAGTATCTCTTTGTCTGAAGATGCTCATAGTCCCTCAACACTGCTTTCCACAAGTAACGTACATAAGTTTTTATCTGTGCATGCAACAGTAAGCACCCACTGCTTACTGATAAAACCAAACTTACTCATTACTGAGGCATCCTAGTCTGCTTACGACACCCTGAATTATCTTCTCTTGTTTCTCAGACAGCTGGTTCTGCATCACAGCAGACAGAGCATATTCCTTTATCCATAGCTAAAAGCAGAAGAAAAAAATTACAATCGTAAGATACTCTGATTTCAGTCATTGTAGTCACCACATTATGAAACAGGTTTATTTTATGTTATTTAGCTAAAAACAATCACCTCTCTCTTTCAAGAAATAAACTCATGCTGAATTGAAATTATTCTACTTAGGAATATTTTCTTCTCAACGATGAAGGTCTTAAGCAAAGCTCTCTGAAAAGAAAGGTAGGCTTTGCACTGTTTTGGATCAGCCTTGAGCTGTGTCTACTACAGATCTTCTGGTTTCAGCCACAGAGGATCAAGAGAAAAAGAACAATACTGCACAAAATATTGCACCAACTCTTATCAGTAGGTTGCGGTGGGCTTTTTGTTTGGGTTTTTTTTTCACAAGTAGAGAATGTAATTTTTATTTTCACTGAACAAAATAAAGATGTCATCTTCCATCACACTTTTGTTTATAGTACACAGTGCTAATAGTTAGAAATTGAGATTGTGTGATTAGGTTTATGGACTGCAAGTTTACAGCTCCTTCAGGGTGATATTTAGACCAAAGAATGTAATCTTTAAATGATCTGACAGATTTGCCATTAGACTGTAAACTTGTGGAGACATGGACTGAAGATATTGTTTAGCGTATTGCCAGAATTTAATGAATAATAAGCCGTAAGATGAAATGGTTGCAAGGCCCAAACTATTACTGTGAGATGAAGAGTATATTTTAGGCTATAATGGCAGCTGAATAAATGCAGGTTTCCTGCAGACGTATGCATAGCCCTAAACGAAACATAATACTCAGGCTCTCTGACAGCTTCACTTCATGTTCTAGCCTCATTCAGAACATGTGGGACTAAATTTTCTATTACTGCACACAGCAAGGTTTCACTAGATCAATATGTCTAGCAAAGAATCAGGTGTGTAATTGCCCGATTGTCAGTGTTAGGAATCAGGAGTGGTACTGTGCCTTCCTACTGGATTTGATAGTCTTTTCGTTGGGAAGTAGTCATCTGTGCAGGAGAGAGGCTTTATCTGTGAGCACAGAATGAACTCCCCTGGAAAGCGTGGAACATCAGAAACCACATCATCTTTGGCTTTAAAATAAAAATGTATTTCTTTCTTGGATAGCACCTTCTCTGTAGTATGCAAACCAATGCATATAACTGACCACTCTCCATGAAAAAAACCCTACCAAAACACATAACTCCTGAGCAGAATGCCCAGGAAGGATGGGCAGGCAATCAACAACAGGTGACAAATGGAAAGAGCACAGCTGAGCAGGTGAAGCACAGTCCTAAAGTCTGCACAGGGCCGGGGAGCCCACCAAGCTGTGCTCAGAAAGAGCCACGGGACGTATCTGTGTAGCCAGACCTCCACTGATTTGAGTTTAGGCGATTCTTAAAACCACAGAGCGCAGCCCAGCGCAGTGACTGCATGCTGCGAGTGTCAAATTAAGGTCTATCAGGTCGTCAGGTATGATCATGACAGATGGTAAACACTTGCTTGAAGTAGTAACCATATCAGTATTTCCCTTTAGCAGCTCTGTGGATACGGCTTCCTAGTGTTTCACACCTCTCTGCACATGCCTAGGAGATCCATCACATTGCGTATTTTAATGTCTCTTTCAGAAGTTAAAAGAAGCGCTGAAAATGACTTTTTACTTTCCTTTCCCTGAGAGCCTGCCTGTGGCTCAGACGTGGCTTCCTGTCATTTCTGGAGAGCTGGCTGTTCACTGAGAAGTTCCTCCTGAAGCCCTATCTGCATGCTTACAGTCAAACAGTATGTGGATTAAATCTGATGTAGATCACCAAGATAAAGAAGACAAGAGATGTCTTCTGAATTACAATCGGAATGCTAAACGATATAATATTGCAGCCAAGAAGCCAAAATTTAGCACCTCTGCTGCTATCAGTATATCCTATCCAAAAAGGCACTCAGAATAATAACAAAACGGGAACTGTAGTCCTTGTTTACTTCTGTTTATGAAGAAATAGCCTAGTTCTGTAGTGGTGAACAGCAAGTTTCTTTTAAAGGAAAAGAATGAGTCACCTTTTCCATTGCGAATGTATTTAAAGTAAGCTGCATGAAAAATTTATAAAAGGTCTCTTCACCCCCCGAGACCAAGGGAAAGCTGAAAATACAGCAGAAGATCCCCCCGGGCACAGTTATTAAACTGAACAGTAGAAGTACATCAGCCATGTAAGCAGTAAGAGAATAAAGAGGAAAGGAGGAGATGGATGGGATAATAAATAAAGCAGATTGAGATTTGGACCAAATAACAACACATTTCTATTCTTGGGAATGGCCTTACTTTGCTCAGAGACAGGTCAGTACAGAGTGGAGAAAATGACGCTGCTGCACAGGCTCAGCAGCTAGAAGAGAACTTGGGCTCCCTGATTCCTGCATTTAACCAGTAAAATCAGTGACAAAAGCATCATAAACAGGGGAGCAAAGCTCCGAGGAATGTCTAGCTCCTTGAAAAGAAGAGTCATTCCAATTACTATGAAAAAATGAGTATAAAATTAAGAGAAAGAAATAAAATGCCATGTCAAAACTGATAAGCAGAAATGCTGGTTCAGCTTTCTGGGTGTCAAGCAACGGTGGGGGAATGGAGAGAAATCTCCTCACCACATTTTTTTCTCTGGAAGCTTCTCGGTGTTTTGCTTCCTGGCAACGAGTCCATTACAAGACCTTCTGGAGTACTGCTAACGTCAAGTATTACTCTCTGGCAATAAAGGTGAGGAATATGCCTTTGGTAGGTAATGAAACCCATAAAATAATTTGAGTTAGACCTCAGATACAACAGTAAATCAGACCCAAGTAAGCTGACTTTTTTCTGCAGTTCTCAGTTTGGATGTTTTCAGCGCAGATCCTCAGGAAATCGAAGGAAAGTGGTTTCTCCCGAGCAGCCTGTAGATGGGGTGTGATGCACGTGGAATGCCAAGCAAGGACCTCAACCTGGTGCAGCGGGTTCCTGCCCGCAAGCCCGGCCCAGGCAGGAGAGCTCCTCTACAGAAATCAGGAGGTAGGGGCGATATGGGAAAATGCTCAAAATTGATTTTCCTTAGTCATTTATTCTCATTTGCCTCACTCACATCCTCAAGCATATATGGCAAAAGTTAAATAGGAAACTGATTTTTTCGTTTTGATTGTAAAAGAGATTCTGTTCCCTCAAAGGACATCATATCCAAATATGTATAAACACTAGAAAAGATAATCGAGGGGAAAAAAAAAAAGCAGTTCAAGTAAATGGGAAAAATGTCTTTTTGAGCCACCTTGAAAAGCACACATAAATAACCTGGTAAAAAGCCTCCTGGTGTTAAGACTTGACAAGTTTGTAAAGCAGGTGACTGTGTAACTCTTAGTATAGTACCTTTATCAAGAAGCAAATGAAAGACATATCTCCTGCTGGAAAATGCCTGATAAATTAAAAGGCCTGACAATATGAATGTTGATTTATGGATCTTCTGTCATATTCACCACTGTAATGTCTATGGGATCTCCTAAATGACAAGATCACCTGTCACGAATGTCTCATCTCTCTTCTTCTTAAGGCGGAAACCAAGTGCTCCTTTTTGTAGGTCACAAGTGTCAGCTTATTGCTTAAATGTGCATTCTGCTGCATTTATACTAGGAAACGGCCAAGAACTGCATTTGAACATAATATATAATGAGTGATGAGATGTTTTTCAGACTTGTTTATACAGGAAAATTTGCCAGTCTAGCAGAATGGTGAAATAGCTATCTTCTTGCATCCTCTCTTTGGAGATATAGCGGACTTTTTTCCAGTTTAGCTCAAACCACTTCCAAAAAGTAAGCTCCTGCAAAGAATATTGTCTTGAGGAATCACACATTTTCCCACTAGGAGAAACCCTTGTCTGTTCTAGCAATGTATCCCACAGAATCACTTGTCCTGAGGACGGCTCTGTCTGCCGCTCAGGAAATTTTTATATTGAATAACTGCAGTGCTGGTGAACCAGAGATCAATGTGAGAGCTCTGTCATTGCTAAATGAATTCCTCTACAGCTCAATAATTACTGTTAATGATGTAACAAACCCTTTATTCTTTTTTTTTTTTTTTTTTTTTTTCCAGCTAGGAAGCCATCTGCTTTGTATTATGAATGCTATGATACACTGAAAGTGATGGAAAGTCCACTTTCTAGTTCAAATAACCTATGCTTGGGCATGATTGGAACATCTGAATTCACATTCAATGAATCCATCATACAGTGCTGCCCAAAGAGCTATTATCCAGCAACTGGGTGCTGGAGATGAACTAATCCTTCTAATCCCTTGAGAAAAAATCCCAGGGTGTGGTTCCTTCACTCAATACTGTGCTCAGTGATAGTAACGGAGGAATGCATAAACAGCATTTTTGGAACAAAACTTTAGACTTGAGATCTCCCTCTCTGTGGAGAGCCTCCTAGTCCTTGAACAACATCCTCTCTGGCCCTGAACAATGGCTGAGGTTCAATGGGACAGTGAAAGGACCAGAGCAGAGGTGCCCTAACATGCACTCTGACTTCTGAGACTAATCCTAAGTTGCACAACAGAATTTCCTCCTTCTCTAAATGCGTTTTTTAATGACAGCAGATACCACCACAGCGCTTTGGTCTCCATGCACTATGAGACATTCTTGTAGTGCACCTCCTAGTCCAGGCTGCTCAGGTCATTCACATACAAGGACAGAAAATTTGTGAACCCTCGGTGAATATGAAAATGAATAGCAACCTAGAGGCTTAAGCTTGCCAAGTCAGGTATAGAATCTAATCCTTGATAAAAAGGGGTAAAATAAAAAAAAAGTTGAGGTCAGACATTGTTTCATTAATCACTGAAGGCATGGGTATGTCAAATTCAAACACTAAATGCCAGCCAGCAGTGCTAGAAAACACAAACGCTGACTCTCAACTTAAAGCATGTGAGCAGACTCATTGGCATCAGTGGTAAGTCCCAAGCATATTTTAGTTAAGTTTTACAGATATCCCTGTGACACAGAAACAGAAGAGGCAAGCAGAACAGTTTTTCAAAATAATTGAGATAACAGGTGAGTTACAACATAGTAAATATAAAATGATCAAAGAGGTGCAAGTTGTACAACTCCAGATTAAGGAAAACAGAGAAGAAGGAAATGGCTAAGAATTTCCAATGAATAATTTTATTTTTGTATTTCCAAGGGTATTCTAAAACCTTTGGTCAGCAAACCCCTCTACCAGATTTAGTAGAAAGCCCATAGTTTCTTGAATCACAGAGCACAGAGTTCTACAGAAGTGGGTGGAAAAGTTGAACACCTTATAGCAGTCTCTATCAGTACCTTATTAACCATGTACTGTATTGTCTAGGTACTTTGGAGAATGAAGCTTGGGAAAAGTATGATTTTGCCAGTGTTAAAGAACTCTGCCGACCTTTTATGTAAGAAGCTCCAATTACTCTATACAGCACACACACGGCATTTGGGAAGGGGCACACCTTTGTACAGAGAAGGTTTTTCTTTGACTAAGCTCCACTAGTCTCCAAAGCAGTGTTAAGAGAGACATAGCATTGCATGAATAAATTCAAGGGATATTTGAGTTCCAGCCTAATGCTGAAGTTACATGCCTCCACATTTGCTGTTGTTGCTTTTTTCCTCCAGTGTCAATGCCCCCTATGCTGGGCACAAACAGAGCAGGAAAGCTGGATGTGTGTTTCTTCACCTTCTCAGAGTAAAGAGTAAGTTTTATACAAAGTAGGTATCAAATGTTTCCAATTATTATAGTACTAATACATAAAAATGATTAAGAAATATTTATCATTGTAAAGCCTCCTTTCCTGTAAACTGTACTCATATGTACCCTCTCCAAGCAGGCCAGATGAAGGTTTTTTTTAACTATTTCTGTAGATGCTCAAGAGTTGAGGACATCAGACAGCAGCCTTGCCAAAAAATGTTGATGGACTGACAAAGCCATCAAACACTGTGGACAGATGTTTAGTAATTACTCTCCAACTCCTCTGTGCAAGTCTATATACACAGCACATACATTCACTCTATACTGCAGGTCAAACTGCCATCCCAAATCAGGACCTGGGCTGTATATTTATACACACAAAGCCCTCTACAGATAAATATCTCGATAATTTTTTTCCACATGCATTTTTAGACCCTGGGGTCCCAGAACGTAATACGGGTCTTACTTTTTTTTCTTGCAATAGCTGTTCCTCAAAAAGCTTCCAGCGTCTCTGGTGGCGAGTCTCCCATTTCTCCAGCTGAGGGACCAAATTCTCCTGCCATTCCTCTTTCAGAAGCTCACATTCTCCTACAGAGAGTCTGGTCACAGCAGGCAAGGTCTGAAGAAACAGCTCTGTCACCAACTCCGCTAAGGCGTGGGAAGCTTTAGAGTGCAGCTCCTAACAGAGAGACAAAGAGGGACAGAGAGACAGGTGAGAAAGTGAACCCCCCAGCCCTGTGGAACTGTTTCACTGCATGTCTCTACGCTGCCAGTGAGGGAACCACGTCCCAGTGACGACACTGGACCAGTGACTGATGCCTACAGCTAAAATCCAATGCCACTAATGCTTGAGTTAAAAAGACCAGGTTTTGTAGATGAAGCAACTTGAATGTTTTGGTTCAAGGCATACAACAGTGTTTAAAATGTAACAGTGGCATAAGCCCATGAGACCGTGAATCCTAACTGTTGCCAACATGCAACTGCAGTACAAAGAATATCTTGTTTTACTGGCTACAGTGACATGTTATAAAACACTTATTTTGAAAGTTGCTGTGGAAACAATCCTGTGTAGCACAACATCTCATAAGCACATTTTCAAAGGTGCTGATATGAAATCAATGAAGGCAAGAAAGAAGGAAGACTTAAAAGGGAGGGTACAGCATTTAGACAGACAAAATTGACACTAGTCATATGATATAGCTGGTGCTCCAAAAAATGACACTCTTCAATGCCTTCTGGAAAGGCAGAATTATTCAAAGTTCTTCTGATGCAGAACAGGTTAAAGCTTAGGAAAACAAACATCATCTAGTGGTTTTATTAAAAACAGTCCCATATGGGTGGTTTTCAATTGCTGAGGCTGTTTCACTCGCAAGAAGAGTTTGGGTGATTTAGTCAGATGTCATCCAAGCTAAAAAGTCTGTTCAAAACACATAATTTCACTGTCAAACACACAGTGATGATACAAGCTGTGTTTGTAAACTTGCTACAATTTGAGATGATCCCCGAGCAGACAGTGTGAAGGCAGGTAGCCTTCCCCAGCACAAGAGAGAAAACAAAGACACGCAGTACTCCAGCAATATGAAGAACTACTTTTGTGTATCTTACCAGTCCAAAAAGCTTTATTGCCTATTTGGTGTTGCTTTCATTGTAAAGCAGTGTTAGCCCTCTTGAAAATATTCATATTTCTTTCCTTTTCTTAAAACACAGCTAATATTTTAAAAACTCTTTTCAGCATTCCTGTGGCAAAAATAAGTCAAGTCTTCCAGGTTGTGCCTTCTTTTAAACGTAGGCTTAATTACAATCTCTTAAGCAATCAAAATCTAGAATCTTTCAATAGGAACACAGAAATATTTATCTCAATGTCAGAACCATTTGTCTGCAGCTCACAGACATGAAAAGTTCTAGTGGACTTGTCTTTTTCTGGGAGACACACTGGTATAATGTACTATTGTGTTAAGAACTCATTCCAACTGCTAGATGTGGTATCATAAAAAAGAAAATAACACAAAAAAAACCCAAACCCAACAAACCACCAAAAAAACCCAAAAGAGGATCTTAAAGTCAAGAACTCAGAAACAAAGAATGACCAGAACTTAGGTTGCACGTGAAATCTAGTTCTGTGCCCCATAATAATAAATTTTGGGTTCATGTACTGTCCCACAGGACCTTTATCTATTTTGTGTTTAGGTTTATCAATACCCATTGAATGGACATATTTCTTAAAAATCTTTACTTTGTATTTCTCCTTTACTGTAAAATATCCAAACTGTGCACTGAATAATAAATTATTGTTTTCTTCCTGAGATCCCTCTAGGATGCTAATCACCATATTAACGAGCTGTTTCACAAACAATAAATAGCTTATCTTAAGAGCTCCCTGCAGTAACCTCTTCTTATGGATAAAATTTGAGGCACAACACTATCAAAAGTGTTCACCACACCTTTGAGATGAGCTGTCTTGATTTTTTTCCACTCTTACCTGTTTAAAGCATGCAGGATTTTCAGAATTCAGCACTTACCGGCTTTGTTTAATCTCAGAGTGTTCTGAATTCTTCTAAACTGGGCTACAGGTTTCTGAAACTGGACACTGGGCATAAATATGAGAATTAGTAGTCAAAGACCCAACAATTGGGTATCTCATTTCTGGTAACACTTCTCCCGTTTCTAGCAACTGCTCACAATCTGACATGACAGAATCATTAGGGTAACATTTACTGCACAGGTGCATCCTATGTTGAAGGATTGATCTGCCCTTCTCCTTAATTATGAGTTACCAGTTCCTGTTAAAATAAGAGGCAGGATTTATACCATCTTAAACACCTGTGTAGTTGTGAGCCTGGCTTAGCTTGCCAACACTAATGCAAAGTGGTTTGTTTGAATTCTCTCTTCTGCTGCTACTTATTTTAACAATCAAGTCTCCAAATTCTGGGATTTAACAGAAACTCAAAGATGCTATGTTTCTAATCTCTGTGTCTCATATAACATTTAAAGAATGATTGCTCTATCTCTGAAAACCATATCTTCTCTGAGCTTTACTAGCCCTTCAGGACAAGTTAATTCTCCTGCCCCTACTGGGTGCTCAGGGATATAAGAATTTCTATTGGGTCTGAAATAGTTCAAAAGCAGTCTAGAGGAGTCTGTGGCATTACCATTGCAATTTCAAAAGATCTCAGGCAGAGTGTTAAGGAACTCTATTCTTAAACAGAGTTCAACCTATGGCAGCTAAATCACTGTGCAACACATTTTGCTGCAGAACTGATAGCACTTCCCTGGCATGCTGACAGCTCTGTATTTTTATTTACTAGGAAATCTTTTGCACCAAACATAAAAAAGGTATTTTGTTACTTACCTTCGTGCCATTTTGTTTAAAGACCAAGTGAATAGAGTTCTGCTTGCACTCCCTGAAGCTTCAAATTATATTGTATCCTTACATTTGGCACTACCAGAGTGGGTACAGTTACCCAGAAAAAATGTGACTAGGCCCTATTCCCACAAAATTATTTACTTACATCACCTCATTCATGTGACGAGCCAAGTTATCTTTAGATCAAAGGTGCTTAACTATTTGTTTGCAAAATACTTTTTTTATGGGCCTCTGCTAAGACTGGTGTATGAAAGGACAAGAAAGTGGGATTCAAATTCCAAGAGCAGTTTTTCACATTAAAAGTTCCTTTAAAAATGAAAATGCTGGGTGAATACATGGAGGGGAAGCAGAACTATGCAGTTTGTTCTTTCCATCCTATATATATTGCAAACTGGCACACAAAAGCAACAGGAAGCCTGGTCAGGTGCTGTAAGTTCCTGGGACAGTGATTTTTAACAGGACTGAACACTTTTTCTTTAAGTTCTGTTAGAAATTCTCCTCTGTGCAGGACACAAATTCTGCACTTACTGCTCTCATCTGTGGTCCAGGATCACAAAATAAACCACCCCTAGTGGTGGTTTATTTTATGTTAATGTTATCAAAACATTAACTTCTCTTCAGGATGCAGGGAACCACTGGCTGCCTACTTCTTTAATTTGAACACACAATTGCACGGACATTAGACCCCAGGCAGTCCCTGCAACCCAGACCCATGACAGCACAGAATCACAGAATCATAGAATGGTTAGAGTTGGAAGGGACCTCAAAGATCATCTAGTTCCAAACCCCCTGCCATGGGCAGGGAAATCCTCCACTACATCAGGTTGCCCAAAGCCTCATCCAACCTGGCCTTGAGCATGCTCTACCCAGAGGACATACCACAGGTACAATATGATGGTTATGCTGTTTAATGCAGCACTTGAAAAAATGCAGTGGAATGGCCTTGTAAAATTTGGTAGGGGAAATGGTCTAAGTCTACACTTAGGAAAGACCACAGATGTGATTAAATTCTACCAAAGTTACCCAAGTTAACAAAACAGTTCAAAACTATTTGTACGCTAAGGAATGTACTTGATCTGAAACAGTACTAAAGTCTATCTGTGAACAGGGCCACCACACTACCTATTATAAAGCTTATCTTCCACAGGAAAAAAAAGAAAAACGTTAAAAAACCCTGCTACTTCGAGGATCTTATTTTTGGTCTACAACCCCTACAAAATAGTTATTACAGGCTTCCTGATATGCCATCTCTTGGTTTTAGGACTTTTACCTAACGAAATTTATTCAAGTTGATTCCATTAATAGAATAGCTGATTGCAGTGTTGAATGAAACTGTTTGTAATACCTAGCAGTCAATCTTCTGATTGTCATGCTTTTCAAAAAATCTCCAGAGAAATTCATCAAGCATAAAGAAGTACCATGGGCTATATGCAGAAATAAAATGGTCTCAGATTTAAACGCTGAGTGCATATGAATTGCAAACAAGGCATTAAACGTATAATTTTATCAAAAACCAGGGGAAACCCACAGCTTATCAGATTTCACCACAAAACCAAATAACAATATTAATGCTCACCTTCAAACTGAAATAATTAAAAGGTTTCTACATGCAGATGAGAATAAAGCAAAAACTGAAATTGTGAAGCAGGAAGATAGTGTTATATTTTAAATGCCAGCCACTGCCTAGTATATATCATATCCAAGACGCAACTACATAGCTATTTGCTACCTTGTGATACAACAGCATTTCGTTAAAATAATGAAAACTTCTGGTCAAAGCTGTAAGACACTCTTGCATGTATCCCCAAAAGCTCAATGGCTAGCACACTTGTTTAGGAGGTAAGAGATTCATCTCCCAACCCATACTGTATCTTATTAAGGACATCAGATTCAATACTCAAGATCATACATCCTATAAATACTCCAAACATTCTTGGACATCAGTGGCCACTAGAAGATGCTTTACATTATAAACTCACATTAAATGAGGAAAAGCTGATGTTTCCCAGGGCTCAGTATTGGGGCCAGTTCTGCTTAGTATCTTTATCAATGGTCTGGACAAGGGGATCAAGTGCACCATCAGTAAATTTGCAGATGACACCAAGTTGGGTGGGCGTGTTGATCTGCTTGAGGGTAGAAAGGCTCTACAGAGGGGTCTGGACAAGCTGGATCGATGGGCTGAGGCCAATGGTATGAGGTTCAACAAGGCTCAGTGTTGGGTCCTGCACTTGGGTCACAACAACCCCACACAACGCTACAAGCTTGGGGAAGTGTGGCTGGAAAGCTGCCTGGAGGTAAAGGACCTGGGGGTACTG